GCCGGCCTATCCTCACGTAGGAGAAAGTATGGTACGAATTAACCGGGATCACATAAAGTGAGGAAAGTATTCCTAAATTGATAATGTTTTAGTGTGTATATTGAAAAACCCGTCATGAGTAACGTTACTCAGTTCACACCGGAAAAAAGGATGAATAACAACGTTGTTGAACGAAAGTTGTGCATTGCTCAGCATTTCGCATATAATCCCGACGAAAACCATCCGAGGTGACCAGAAAGTTGAGCATTACACGACTTCTTTTCAACAAAGTTGAGTTGTTCATAAGCTTTCTGGAATCTACTAAATGTCGGACATAACGTGCAAGTTCATCGATCGCATTCGTACAGAGGGTGGTTACTCGCAGTAAACGAAACATAGGCGAATTAAAATCTCTACCCAGAAACTTTTGTTACCGACATGGTAGCAGTCACAATAAAATAAAGTAAAGAGCCGGATGAGAACAGAATACCGGCGTCAAGATTGGACTACGATGTCCTGTGATTTAAGAGATGTGTCGTGATGTTATTGTTGAGCCCCATTATGAAAATACCAGAATACAGATAAAACAATACAGCAGAAATTAGAGATTGGAGTTGGGGTCCCAATCAAGGGTCCAGTTATTTTTGTCGTGTTTCAATTTGGTAATCACTTTTTCAACCAGCCAGAGACAACATCGCTACCCAAGTTTTTTATTATATAACTTAATTGGCAACAGTGCGTCAGATGAAAGGAATGTGAGTGGAACACGCTGGTATGAAGTGTGGACTAATAAGGTGACGCAACTATTCAAGGATGGCTGACTCCTCCAGGTGACTTCATAATAGGGTGGTAGTGATGTAGTGATTTAGTCCCTGTCACGGCGTACTGTGGATCTTATGATCCTTGGATCGAACTCCGCTACCGCCACCCAACTTTGGTGATAGGCAACTTTGCGGTTGTCCGAATCAATGTCCAGCTCAACATATTATTATTATTATTCACCACCGGCTTGTAGACAAGCATGGTGTCAACGCAACAACAATAATACAATAACAATAAAAGGGGACAGGCGGATTGGGGCACAGAACAGAGTGAAAAGGGGGTGAAACAGTTAAACAGGGGGAAACGGAAGATAACTGGAATAACAATTTTTGTGCGTGTTTCACCGTACACCTTTTGATACTTTTTTTTGTTTTTACGGAGCACGGGATTTCAACAGGCAAACAGTACAGCATTCGCGCCACTGAATTCTATTCTGGGCCATATCTTTCAGCGTCTCTAACCAATGACAATCCTCATCCCTTGGGCCCCAACCTGGAAGGCGGACTGCACCAACCAAAGCCAAAGCTGAAGTCAGCTTCTTCTTACCTCTAGCGCATGTCATAGTCTGACCGCCGCACCGCTTCTTCCAGCCTTGCCTGGTACGTGCGAAGAGAGCAAGGAAAGGTAGTCTATGGGCAGACATACGTAATACGTGACCAAGCCATCGGA